GTACGGCTTTAATGGGGACTCGCTCAGACCGAACGCTTTGTTGTCGTCTCATTTGCTGCGAAGCACAACTGCATCATTTAGATTCCTCATCTCAGCGACTGCTTTGTTCTTTCCATCCAGACGCTCATCTGTGGTGTAAAATCATCTGGAGGCCTCGAGGTTATTAAAAAGAAGCCCCGAGGTAAAATAAAGCCTCTGTGCATAACAATAACATAACAAAAGCAATTTCTCACCTTCTCAATATGGGAATTTAATAGCCATCAGTGCTGTTTCAACAAGCAAAGTTTCTTGTATAATAAATAGAAACGTATAGGAAGACATATTGATAAGCTCCAGAGCTGCAGTATGGCCGGGACGCAGGTTCAAAACTGTCTCAGGTGTGTGGATGATGCATAGCGATCTTATATTCAACATGATGCACAATTTAGACACACTGTCGTCGCTCCGGATGAGATGCTATGAGATAATTTGATAGTTTGGATTGCCCGTTATTGCTTTTCCTGCGCCCAGCAAACGTGTAAAAATAACACATGAAGTGGAAAACTGTGTCTTTCATAGAGGACGCTCACGGCGAGAAAGGATGGACGCAGCTCTCAGCAAGACGCTATCGAGGTCAAGGGTGTTCCTGATATTCCTGTTATTAATGCACCTGTAAGGAAACTGGGGAAATGACTGCTGAGCGTCTGAGTGACTGTTTCTGTTGACTAAGCAGGCCGCTCACTCTGCCTGCCTGCCTCGGTTTTTTTTAAACCTGCTGCTTGTCAGTATGATCAAAACACAGTCCAGTAGGTAAACACATGGAGTCGGGGAGTAAAGTGCTGCTGACTCTGTAATTGTGAGAGGCAGCATTATGTTTCCCTTTCAAGGTACATGAGAGGGGAGAATGGAGAGAGCTGCACAAAGCCGGAGAGAAGCTCACAACTCTGAGGCGAACTTTTTTTTTTATTCATGAACCTAAACCTCCACATTTCAGCGCGCACTGGCCGGGACAATGCACAGGATAAAAGCCACACTTGCTCTGAATTGCATTTGTGGCCTGAATGAACACAGGTGGCATTTATAATCAAGAAAGGTCGCTAACGCTGGGTTTTTTCAACAGGAATCAGCGACAGAAAGGAAATGTTTGTCTGTTTTAATCTCTCTAATCCTTCATATCATACATTCAGATTATAACTTTACATTTAAATGCTGTTTGTGGGATTTGGATTTGAATTCTTTATACACTTAAATGTATTCATCTGCTTTGTTAAGCTGTTGTTTTTGATTTCCTGTTCTTCATTAGCTCACATGTGGATGTTTCTGGCATGTCTTGGACTATAAATTACATCTATACACCTTCTAATTCTATGCAGTTTGACACGCCATGCAGAGTATTTTGAAAATTGCACACATTTGTATGCAAATACTACAAGTATGAATAAAGCCTTATTATGTTTGCCTTTTATAAAGCAGCGGCTTATAAGAATATGTGCATTTTTCTTCACTTCTTCCTCTTTAAGTTCACAGAAGTCTCCAGTCCTGTCCACCACTGGGGGAGCAACGACCAGTCCCACATACATGAATATAAGAGAATAATGAACTTCTGCTAATTATAGTGACTTCATCATAAATCTCTAACTGAACGAACGTCCCAGGGTTGGGCAGCCAGCTTTTAGAAGTCTCATCCATTAGAAACTATGTTATTTATATTATATTATATTATATTATATTATAAGCTTTAGAGTAAAATGGTAAAATGGTCTGCACTTATATAGTTTTTTTTTTATCCAAAGCACTTTACAATGTGTTTCTCATTCACCCATTCACACACATTCATACACCAATGGTGACATGCAAGGTGCTGCCTGCCATTGGGGGCAACTTCGGGTTCAGTCTCTTGGCCAAGGACACTTTGACTGTGGAAGGGATCGAACCGCCAACCTTGCGATTGGAGGACAACCCGCTCTCCCACCTGAGCCACAGCCACCTTAGAGTACATTTCTGTTCTTCAGTATTCTGTGTTATTTTACATGTAATCAGCTGTCCCTTCAAAATAAGATCAGAACCTCAACGTCTAGTCAATGCATAAACATATAAAGCACATTCAAATCAACAGCCATCGAGCCACCATCATGAGTAATTAGATATCACACCTAAAACCATAGACTGTTCTATAAAACCAAGCAAGATTCCCTATGAGCAGCATATTTGCAGCAGTGAAAAGGAAAAAGATCCCTTTTTTATTATAAAGAAAAATCCAGCAGAGCCAGGCTCAGGGAAGGCAGACGTCTGCCTTGACTGGTTGAGGTGAGGGTGAAAAGAAAAGAAAAGGACAGCAAAACAGACAACAAACAAGAGAATATGAACACTGGAGAAGTTGGTGGAACCATTAGCTGCAGATCAAACTCAGACAGTTGCAAGAAATACCTTCACAGAGGTAGAAAGAGAGAAGACGACAGAGAGGAAAAAACTCAAACTATGGTAGAAATACAGACACAAACTGTATATAAATGTCTGGAGGAAGATGAAAACATGTGAAGACAAAAAGCATAGGTTTCTGTCTTGGATTAAAAGAGGTAGAGCTGGGCGCCACTATAGCTCACCTGGTCGAGCTGGCGTCCCATATACAGGGGCTAAAGTCCCCGTTGCAGCGGTCATTGGTTCGAGTCCCGCTCATGACCCTCTACTGCAGGTCCTTCCCCCATTCTTCTCTCCCTACTTTCCTGTCTCCTTCTCTGTCCTATCAAATAAAGCCAAGAGGCCAAAAATAAACAATAAAAGAGATAGAGCTACAAAACCTAAAGATTAAAAGAAAGAAATTAGTCAACTGATCAAAACAAAAGAATCCTTGAATCCTTGAAATAATTAAGGGCATTATGAGCAAATGGTACAATTTCAAGCTTAACTCTGGATTTCAGCGGTAACCAATGCAAAAGAGCCAGAAGTGATGTGATTCAGAGCTGAGGTAATACGATGAATACCATCAGTGACACATCAGTGGGGCTTTCACTAATAATACATACCAAAGGTGGAGGTGGAGGCCCTAATAATCTACAGTCTCACCTTTTTGCCACATTTGAGAATACAGTGTGTGATCAGTGCAGGAAAGACTGAATATGCTGCCGGAGATGAGTAAAAGAAAGATAAACACAAACTACTACTTTGGCTGGAATTGAGCCAAGATAACTGGACAACAACAACAACAACAACAACATGACAGAGGCCGTATGTTCACCATGCAGGTAAAAAAACAACAACGTGTGCACACATCCCTGCTGGCTGCAGCTTTAATTAACTCTCGGGCTCCGTGTCCTCAGACGGTGTAACACGTGTGATTAACGGCGAGCCTCGCATATTACCCGAATAGGATCCGTCCTGTAGGCGATATATGGCTTGAATTAATGAAGAGCGTCTAACTCATTCACTGTGGCTCCACACACACACCACACACACACACACACACACACAGAGACAGAGAGGGGGGAGAAGGAAAAGCTTCCACCTCAGGAAAGGAGGAGGGCTGTCACGTGGTGTGTGGATGCAGCCAATCAGGAGTAAGTGCGCATTGCGATCCTGTGCAGAGGGATTGTTTTATTGAAAGGCTTCGGTAGTGATCAATGAGCGAGTGGAGCTGTCCACGGTGCTGAAAGTTAGTTCATGATGGACGGACTTTCAGCACCACGGACAGCTCAGCTCCCATATGCACACATATACATTATAATAAATCACATTTATTAGTATTATTTTTTTCTTCTCTACACTCTTCAGCTGTCTCTATTGTTGCTTCTGGAACTTTACTGCCACCGGAGCAAACTGTGCAACAAAAAAAAACTCCAATAACAGCCCCTAAGACTGAATTTGTTGCTGCTGCTGCTGCTGCTGCTGCAACGCCACGACGTGTGGATGATTGGGTTTCAGCCTTTTTTTGCTTTATGCCTCCACAGCTGCTCAATCTCTGGGGGGCAGTTGGGGGGCTGTATTTCCTCGGGGTGACATAACTCTTCCACTCCCGTTAATAACGCAGCCACCAGCGGCCACATCAATCTGACACCACCGGTCATGGAAGGTGCCACAGGCCCGTGCGGTCACATGGTCAGCGAGCCAATGAGCTGAATGAAATCAGCAGCTTGTAAATCAGAGGTGGCAGCGAGCTACGTGTGTTTCCTATGAAGTCAATAAATGGTGGAAATCAGATCAGAGGAGGGGGGGATTTATGAATAGGCCCCTGCTGATGGGGTTTGGCTCACAAAAAAGGTAAATTACAAGTGTGGCTCACGGGGCTGAGGTGATGAAGTGAACCAGTACACAAAAAAAAAAAAAAAAACGGGAGAAAATACACCTTCTGTGCACTTTCAGGTGCGAGAGTGCAGGTGGATCTCCAATAATTCAGCAGTTGATCACTATGAAATGAGGCTGGGCTTCACATCCCCTGGTTGCAACCTTTTCATGACGTCGAGCCAGTTGTTTTGGTCCCCTCTGCCCAATCGGAGGCTCCTCTCAACATTCTACCGGAGCCGAAATGGATCTATTCATGCAGCGGCTCCGTCCTCTCGTAAGGACCAGAACGCCCTTTGTCAGGGGCTCCGTGCTGGTACCTGACTGCTGCTGCTGCTTTAAACGGCAGCACTGACATGGAAACCCCATTACAGCTGCACAACGATTTCTTTCCAGAGCAGCAGCAGCAGCAGCAGCTCCAGCACTGTAAGTACCAGCACTACTGCGGGCGGGAGGATCGGCTCAGCAAGCAGCACGACCAATGCTGCACCTGCAATAACTGCACCTGCGATGCGCGCAAAAGCCTCGTCTTTCGCGGGACGTCGCCGACCACTGTGGGAACTTTAAGGACACCTTCGGAAACGTCTTCGAGGCAAGGTTGCCAGTACAGCGTCTGCGAGTTCACACCCTCTAGTCATGGTAGTTCATCCAGACATCATCATCCTCACCATCAGCAGCAGCAGCAGCAGCAGCAGCATTGCCGTGATCGGCAGCAGCGGGGCAGCCTGGGCAGCAGCCACAAAGACAGTAACTCCTACAATGAAATAGCCATGAGCAGCTGCAGATACAACGGCGGCGTAATGCGGCCGCTGAGCAACTTGAGCTCGTCCCGCAGAAACATACACGAGTTTGATTCCGAGTCCCAGCCTTTGCAGCCCATCTCAGCCGCAGATGCGTCGGACACTTTAGTATCCAAGCCGGAGAATAATTCCACCACCCTGATGCCTTACGCATCGGGAGACGGAGGGGGAGGCTGCGGCCACAGCGGCGGCAAATCGGGGAAAAAGAAGAACCAGAACATTGGGGAGAAGCTGGGGCACAGGAGGGCCTTGTTTGAGAAGAGGAAGCGGCTCAGCGACTATGCTTTAATCTTTGGGATGTTTGGGATCGTTGTTATGGTTATAGAGACTGAACTCTCATGGGGAGCCTATGGAAAGGTGCGTATTTACTCCGTCCCATTCACTTATTTTATGCGACTGACGAAGCAAGTCACATTTTTTTTTTTTGTATTTTTTTTCTGCATTTAAACAACTTCTGGCTTAAAAGAGAATCAGCCACTTTAAGCAGCACGAGTGTGGGCTTCGCTGCACAGTGTCCCATGCAGTCCCATCGTCCTGCCACATGCAGGCCAAAAGGCCCCACTGCTGTCCAACCATGAAGGGGAACCCCCCATAACACAGGAAGAAACTGCAATGTCAGAATTTGTTGCAGTGCACCTTAACAAGACGTGTCCCGTGTTTTGTTTTGGGGGTTTTTTTCTCCACACAGTTTATCAGAATGTGATTTCATGTCGTGATGTTGTGTCTTGTTTGGCTGTTTTTTTCTCCTTTTTTGTTTTTTTGTTGTTGTTGTTGCAGGAATCCCTGTATTCATTAGCTCTAAAATGCCTGATAAGCCTTTCTACAATCATTCTCCTGGGGCTGATTATCATATACCATGCAAGGGAGATACAGGTAAACACTTTTTCTTGTTCTTTAACTGTTGATTTTTAACAAAGGTCACAGTCTGTCATAACAGAAAATGTTTATTAAATGCTTCATTTAATGCTATATTGCACTTTTTGGGATGTGAGAAGTTGGTTTTGTCAGTGTTTGTGGGTGAATTATTCTCCAAAATTGAACAAATGTCCTCTCTAGAAAAGAAAATTAGCAACCACGCAACAACTTTGGGCCCCAGAAACAAAAAGCATGCTTGTTTCTATGCTCCTCAGCAGTCTGTGGAGCCCTGTAATTGCATAAATGATGGCTCTGTAGACTGTAGCAGACTGATCATCATCCTCTGAAGCCACGTTAGCGGTTCATTATACATTTTGATCAGATTTAGGAACTCCTCCCAGGGCTCGCTGGATGAATGTTCGTCCAGCTTCCTCCTCCCCCCTGAGATGTTCCAGCTAACAGTTTTATGACCTTGCCTTGGAGCATCGTTGCATTACTTACATTTCCTTCCTGCGTTGCCTTTTGTTGAGCAGCCACAAAATTAATGATGCCACTTTCTGCAGGGGTGCACATATGTCGGCAGAAAGGTTTCATGTATCTCAGGCGTTTCTTTTCTGTTTTTTTTTTTTTATTAATGAAACTTAAAAGGAGGAGGAGGAGGGGGGGAGAAAGAAAATGAAAAGAAACACAACTCAAGCATTTTCTCGAATCTAAAGTGACGCCACGTTTCATCATGTTAATGGATTTTTTTGTTGCGTTTACACAAGATGGGTTTTTTTTTTTTCAATGCCTTCAGCTGAGTTTTACAAGCTGATCCAGCTATTTTCATCTGCTCTCATATCTCGACTCTATTAAGTCCTAGATTCAAGATTTTTTTTGGGAGACTTAAAATAATATTACACTCGGATAAAACATTAAGTTCTCATCTTCTGCATTAACTACAGAGTGTTCATCAGCCTTGTTGGTATATTTAGCAGTTCCACGTCCCGGGAGGATATCAGTCATTAAAATAGCCCAACAGTAAAATGTGTCACCCCTCCTTTCTCCTTCAGATCTTCTCTCGTTGTAAAACCTTTTCTTTAGAAGGGATGATAGAAAAAGCATCATTACCATATTTCAATGCACAACTGAGGCTTTTTCATTTCCCCTGCAGACAGTTCCTGTAGCTGTTTATAAATTACAAAGCATACTGTAAGTTTAAACTGGCCTCTGCACATTTTACTGTGTAAATTCATAAACCAGCTTCTCTTTTTTTTACCCCCTTTGCTTGCAAAATATTGTAAGAGTTTCAGTCTTTACATGGCAGGTTTCCTTTTAGTGAGTTTTACAACAGTGTGTTAAATTAGTCCTGCCTCAGCTGCACATTTATTGTTCCTGTTGGCGTAAATCAGTTTGCCCGAGCACTGGATTGTGCTGCATGTGCTTTGGCCACTGTTGATCGTATACATAGTCTTACAGCAACACATGAATATGGATTTTTTTAAAAAGCAGCTCTAAAGCACCGTCGCTCCCTTCGTTCCACGTGACCTCAAATACCTATTTTAGCTCTAACAAAAGCCCTCCTTTAATTGTCAGCAGCTGCATATTTACCCCACAGGAAGGCTGTTCAAACCATCTTTGATCCTCTGACAGTCACATCAATATCCAAAACGTCTTTCACCCCACATAGTCCCTCTCTTCCTCTCTCTCGTCAGGATAAAGACACTTCATCCTTTGCTGACCTAGAAAAGTTTATTAAGGCAATTGTTTCCCTCCGAGTTGATTACCGCAAATCACTTCTCGCCACACATCCACAATGACGGAACAGATGAATCAGAAAACGTCACGTCACTGCGGTCTGACTCGCTGCTGCTGCTGCTGCTGCTGCTGCTGCCTCTCTCTAAAATGTACAAGTTGATTAGAAGGTCTGTCCTCTAATTCATCAAGTTCCCCTTTGGACGTAACCGTCAGCCGTTTCCTGGAACTGACTCCGTCTCACTATTTAAATCCAGTTCGGAGTGTTTATACTTCAGCTTCCACCACACCAGCTGCTCCTTTTCCCTCCCTGCCTGAGGGCCCTTTTGTGCCCGTTGTTGCTGCTCTGTCATTACTCGGTTCCTGCAGACTGACATATGTGCTGTCACACACACAGGGCACGCGCGCACAAACACACCGACACACTCGTGCACGGATGAATTAATTCTCAATCGATCTTGCTAATGACACACACACACACACACACACACATGGGCACGAGGAGATGCTGAAATGTCGTTTCCTTCTCATTTTCTCCGGGCTGCTGTTGCTCAGATGCAACACTCGTGACAAACAGTTTGGTTGAAAGCACGTAATTTATCTTCAAATGCGTAAAAGTTGACGGTATATCCGGTCAGATTGGCCACAGAGCGAAATTAAACCTCGAAAATTAAAATATCACAGCGAGTCGAGTTAATCCAGGACTGAACGGAGGATTTACTTAAAGCCTAAAAGTGAAAAGTTTGACTTAAGATCAATGTTTTTTCAGCCACTTAGCTGGTCAAATGCAAATTTAAACCTGGAAGTCATCCTGTAAAATAGGGAGTTTTGTCTATGTGATGAAATAGAACTTCTCTAAAGTAAGATGACTTGTGAGAGAAGATGAAAAACAAGAGATATTTTCACTTTTAAGCTTTCAAACCGCTCAATCCTGCACTTCTGATAGTGCAGCTTTGTAATATTGTTTATCGGGGCAGTAACTAGCACTTATCTTTTGAATAAAGTCTAATTTTTTAGTCTATAACGTCAAAAAACAAATGCTCAGCAGTCCTGTTCGACAACTTTTTGTCTAAGATGTTCAGCATTTAGTGATACAAGACGGACAAAAGCAGCAAATCCTCACAGCGGAGAAGCCGGAACAAGAGATTAACGATCGAGCACTTATCAGAATTGTTGTCAGTTAAAATTTCTGTTCATCGATCAATCAGCGGTTTTCGGCTCGGCTGCTTGTAAGATCCTCTCCGAGCTCAAAAACACTTTGTCTTTCAAACTCTGCTCCCCTCTAATTGTACCGTTAAAAAAAATCTGCAGTCTCCAGACTCAAACACCTGGGAGATGTCAATTAAGTAATTTTTTCCCCAGAAAAGCTCCACCACAGACAAAGAAGACATCACACAAGTGATTTCACAGACAATGTAGCGCTCCATACGACTGGTAAAAAGGTAATGATGAGTATAAGTGGCAGCGGTGAAGGAAGCAATCTGCTGTTTTACTAAAAGTATTAATGCAACTATAAAAGTCTGTTAACGCCAAAGAACTGCAATGATCATAAGGTATATAAATGTCAAAGGGGAATTGATATAAATATGAGAAGTAGACGTAGGTTTTCTTATATTATCTATATAAATATTTTCCCAATAGACCAAACCTCAAAATGAATCAATTTCCAGAATTTTCTGATACCTGACGATGAATTCTCTAATTAGTTAACCTCAAATTTTACAGGCTTTTGGGTAATTTAATGTTATAAACTGCATCATATCAACCTAAAATGTGTTTTACATACACAAATCCAAACAGCAAAAAGTATTAATTTCACAATAAAGGCTGTCAAATGATGAGATGCCCACTTTTTGCTCATTTTTTTGGGCTTATTTTTTTTTATTGGATCCATGGCGAGTTTTATACCACATGACATGACTTTGTTTTTTATTTACAAATAAAAAGAGCAACAAAGACGACATAATTTTCCACAGAGGAGAGTTTCAGTTGAAGGTTTGATTTTGCACAAAACTACTTGCTTAAGTTTAGGCACCAGAAGCAGTTGTTTAGATTTAGAGGAGAGAAAAAAAATCATAGTTTGGGTTAAAATACACACACGGAAACCACAAAGTTGTTTGTTGTAGCAATTTTACCGCCTTATTTGTGAATTAGAGCAGACCCACGTTTCGGTGTGAGCCTGGCCTGATGAAAGACGAGGGAAAAAAAGTGCAATGTTTTCCTGTGAAATGTGGCGGAGACTCCCGCAGAATACTAATTATTCAAACATAAGTACAGTAAAGTGCAGCACCTGATTTCAGACAATCGAAGCTTTCTCACAGATTTTCACTTTTTTAAAAAAACCCTACATTTAGCATCACCAAAGCTGCTCGTCGGTGTCGTGTGATGTTCCTCGCTCTCCTCCTTTTCGTCGAGGTTCTACAAAACGTGTTTGCAGTGATGCAACAAGGATTTTCTAAAGTGCACTTTTCCTTGTGGGAAAAATTTTGTGCTTCTGCAGTGAAATAGATTATGCATGCACATCCATGTGTACTCACAGATGCCTGTCAGATGCAGAGGCATAAGTCAGGATGATGAAATGTTTCCCCACCATTTCCAGCCCCTTAAAACTGATTTACTTGTCAAACTCGGTAAAGACGGCGCCCTCTGATGTTTATAGGGTATCGCAACGCAAAGTTTGGGTTTTTTTTTCTTCTCCTCGGAGTGACTGAAAACTCCAAAGGTCAGGTCAGACAGGATAGAAGTCGGACACCAGCTGTCATTTGAATTGTTTTGGGATACATCTGCTGTGCTGCATCGGCAGTGACGGCTGACCTACTGAGCCGAGTGCATTAACAGAGAGAGGCAGCGCATTCATGTTGTACTAAATGTCCTTAGTCTGGTCCCGCCGTCTTCAAGGAGTCGTATTATGTTCATTCCTCTGTCGTACATACCGATGCATTTCTTTTTTTATAAATCCTCTCGAAGCCGAAGCTCTGCGCCCGATTCGGTTAAAGCGATGTCTTTTGTTGACAGCTGCCGATCCACCCAAGCAGTTTTTAGACTTTTGTCGAGTTTTCTGTGTTGTCAGGCGGCAACCTGCTGTACAGCCTGAGCGGAAAAAAGGAGAGGTGAGAGTTTGTAGCTCTTCCCTAACTTTGATTTGTCATCGTGAGCGTTCTGATATGAGCCACCAGCTGGGAGCCTTTCTCACTCTCACCGCTGAGATGGCTGATGAGTTCAGTCTTTTTCCCAAAACAGACGCAAAACTGACATTTTGAAAAGTTTTCTCTTCTCCCCACATC